AAAGCAAGAGCGAGAGAGAGAGAGAGAGAGATTGAATAAGTATATATTGGAATAACTTGACAAGGAGAGGCTAGACCAATGGAAAACACATTATCCATAGGGAAGGAGATCATCAATGTAAAGATCCGGAATATGAACTTGACAATGTGAGACCAGACCAGTGGAAGCACATGCACAAAGGAGAAGAGTTCAACAAAGTAATGATCTGGAAACATGAACTTGACAATGAAGACTAAACTAGAGAAAATCACATGCACCATGAGTAGGTGTCAACAAGGTAAAGATCCGGAACATGATCTTGACAATGAGACTTAGACTAGTGAAAACCACATGCACAATGGAGAAGAGTTTCAACAAAGTAAAGATCCGGAACATGAACTTTACAATGAGACTAGACTAGTGGAAAACACATGTACAAAGGGAAGAGATCCACTAAACAAAGATCCGGAACATGAACTTGACAATGAGACTTAGACTAGTGAAAAACACATGCACAATAGAGAAGAGTTTCAACAAAGTAAAGATCCGGAACATGAACTTGAMAATGAGACTAGACTAGTGGAAAGCACATGCACAAAGGGAAGAGATGAACTAAACAAAGATCCGGAACATGAACTTGACAATGAGACTAGACTAGTGGAAAGCACGTGCACAATGGAGAAGAGTTCAACAAAGTGAAGAACCGGAACATGAACTTGACAATGTAGACTAGACTAATGGAAAGCACATGCACAATGGAGAAGAGTTCAACAAGGTGAAGAACCGGAACACCATACTAAGCATGAACATGACAATGAGACTAGACTAGTGGAAAGCACATGCACAATGGAGAAGAGTCCAACAAATAAAGATCCGGAATATAAACTTGATAATGTGAGACTAGACTAGTGGAAGCACATTCCCAAAAGAGAAGAGTTCAACAAAGTAAAAAATCCGGAACATGAACTTGACAATGAGACCAGACTAGTAGAAAGCACATGCACAATGGAGAAGAGTTCAACAAAGTAAACATCCTGAACTTGACAATGAGACTAGACTAGTGGAAAGCGCATGGACAATGGAGAAGAGTTCAACAAAGTAAAGATCCGGAACACGAACTTGACAATGAATCTAGACTAGTGGAAAGTACATGTACAAATGGAAGTGATCAACTAAACAAAGATCTGGAACACGAACTTGGCAATGAGACTTAGACTAGTGAAAAGCACATGCACAATGGAGAAGAGTTTCAACAAAGTAAAGATCCGAAACATGAACTTGACTATGA